GTGTTGAGTACTGGCACGGTGCATGAGTACCGGAGGTACCGCCAGCATGCCGGTACTGAGCAAGAAGTGCCGGTACTTCCATGGGGCAGAAACCAGAAGTGCCGGTACTGCGTACCGGTGAGTACCGGCCCAATTCCAGCACTGTGCATTTGGGAGGAAATCCCCCGGAACTCTCAGCGGCTGACCGTAGACCAGGCATCCTCAAACTACGGACTCAGGTCCGGATCCGGACCGAACCACCACTGTCTACGGACTCTGAGCAAATTATACTTTTCACATGTATTATCTCTCTGTATTATATGTGAGACATCGCCACAACGCATTCGCAACGAGTAAAAATTCTCCGCTATGTCCACTGCAAACAGCGCTCTGCATGTCTGACTGTTCCACTGTGTTCCACCTGTGTGTGTCAACGCTTTGGTCCAATCACATTCAGCATCCAGTCAGCGTTTTTCCCCCCCAAACAATCTGCGAATCAGAGGCACAGTAGGGCGGGTCTTCGCGGAATGCGGGTGGGAAAAATGTGTGTTTCTCTTTCAACCTGTCTAAGTCAGAGCGAGAATAAAAAATAAAATAAAATAAAAATCAGAGCGAGAGTTAACAGTTCATCTAGTTCCATCTGTACTGTAGCTAGTAGCCTAGTTTCACCTACCGGGGTGGCAACTGACACCCTAAAAATAGGCCTTGCCACCCCAGCTGCCACCCCAGTTGGCAGCTTTGTTTTGAAAGAAAAGTTGTGGCTCATCGGACATTTATGAGAGAAAGTCTCTAATGTCCGAGTGCAAGTGAATGCAGCACAAGATGCACGTCATGTAACCCCTCCCCCGGTGCTGGCGCGAGCGTGGACATATGATTTGGCGGCGATTTCATTTTTAACTGGACGGCGCAAAACGAGAAGCATTCGAACCCAAGCACTGAAGGAATGAGGTATTTGCGGTCTATACTGACAGAGAAGAGGCTGTACTCAGCATTGAATCAAAACGCACTAAAGCTGTTGATCTTAATACGTTTGTGAGGCGTTTTGCTGAACAAAATGGTAATCGCCGCATTCAGCTGTAATAGACATGTCAACTTGATGCTCTGCTCACGGATGAGCAGAGGTGGGACCAAGTCATTGTTTTGCAAGTCCGAGTCAAGTCTCAAGTCTTTGCGCTCAAGTCCGAGTCAAGTCTCAAGTCATTGTTTTGCAAGTCCAAGTCAAGTCTCAAGTCAGGATGGGCAAGTTCAAGTCAAGTCCAAGTCCTAAACTTTGACAAAACGAGTCATAAACAAGTCATTATGTGTTTTTCACCAAATGTAATGACATCGATCAACAGAATAATACTTAATAATCAAATTGCTCTTTATTAGTCACATTAATAATTTAATAATCCATTTTCTCTCTGCTGGTAAAGTAACGTGTGTTTTTCTAATTTAAGAGGGATCAGTAAGGTAAGGCTACCGTGACGGTTTGATTCAGAAGGAGTTTAATGTATAAGATCCCTGATGTTGAGGTGACCAGAATGTTTATTTCCACTGTGTACAACATGTTATAAGGGACCCACAATCTATCTTTATGCAAGGGATAATGTGCAGCGAGGCGGTCTCTATGGGGAAGAGAACACCTGAATCTAGATCCCTCTGCAGGTGGTACTTTAAGTATATTTTGATGCTAATACTTTTGTACTTTTACTTGTAACATTTTGAATGCAGGACTTTTTATTGTACAGGGTTCCTGCAGGTTTCGCCAACTCAAATTTAAGACTTTTTAACACCTTTTTAAGACCACTTTGAATAGAATTTAAGACCTATTTCACGGCAATAAAGTATGAAGGAAAATGTATATAAAGAAGAAATACGTCCCATAATCACTTACAAAGTAAATGTATTCATGTTCAACATAAGAACAATGACTGAACACAACAGCGTAACAGTACAGAACTGTGTTAGCGTGTTAGACAAAAAGTGTGTATGTGTGTGCGCTTGAGTGTGTGTGTGTGTGTGTGTGTGTGTGTGTGTGTGTGTGTTAGGGCTGTGCAATTAATCATATTTTAATCGCAATTACGATTTTGGCCTGCCACAATTACGAAAACAACATAATCGGAAAAAACGATTATTTTGCTTTGCTAGGTTGTGACAGTGCACCACAACATATTTGATCTAATGATTTTTTTAGTAATGTATCATTTATTTAATTAATTGTTGTATTGGTTTTTCAGTTGAATTATACGTTCAGGGTAATCAACAGTTAAAAAGATACTGTTCAAATTATTATCTGTTTTAAAGTTCAATAAATGGATGTTTTCAAAGTCAATGAATAATCATATTTAATAATCGTGATATTAATTATTGACCAACATAATCTTGATTATTGCCATAATCGAGCAGCGTGTGTGTGTGTGTGTGTGTGTGTGTGTGTGTGTGTGTGTGTGTGTGTCTGAGAGAGAGTGACAAGAGCTATATTCAGACTGAGCTCTGCTGCCTTGGCTACACTATTTCATCGTTGCTGTTGTATGATTGGTGTTTAGCTACGGTATTTAGCGTCTACAGCACCTCCGCTTTTAGGGTTGACGTAGACCCAAACTTCGCCCGGAGGTCCCCCGGTGTTGTTGCGGGAGCTGCTGCACTAGCTAACACTCCACTAGCTAACGCTGCACTAGCTGCTGCTGCACTAGCTAACGCTGCACTAGCTAACGCTACATTAGCTGCTGCTGCACTAGCTAACGCTCCACTAGCTAACGCTGCACTAGCTAACGCTACATTAGCAAAACAAACACTAATTTATTTTGCAAAAGGTGCAGCGGGCTTCAAACACGTTCCCTCCACTGGTTTCAACCAAGCACTAAATTAGATGTTTTCCAACCAAATACGGTTGAACTTACACTTCCCCATATTTATTTGTAAGTAGATTCGAAGATAGGCTACATGAGCTGAAGCTTGGTTGCTAGGTTACTAGCTGGGTGTTCTCCAATAAGGGGCCGGGGGAAACAAAGTTAGTGATTACTGGTTCCATGTTGATTTAATTCAATACAAATTGTTGGGGGGAACTGAAAGGCTATTACCGTACTGGTTACTTTGCAGCCCGGACATTTCCCCCAAAACACATTTAGACGCTGTCGCAACACAGAAGTACCTTTCAAATCCGATAATTTTTAAGACCTTCTGAATCATATTTAAGACCTTTTTAAGGCCTTAAATTCTGATTATCAAATTTAAGACTTGTTAAGACCCCGCGGGAACCCTGATTGTAACTTTGTTTAATTGTCTGAACTTCTCCCACCTCTGACAATAAATCCTGAGTGTTTACCCTGCTCTGAAGGTTATTTTCATTTTACAAATCCTGCACTCAGCTTTGCTTTCTCCAATATCATTGAAAAGCAGCCAGATGCTGCTTCTTTTTTCGGTTTTCGCTCATTTCTTGACTTTTTCCGACGCGCTTGCATTTAAATCCGGCTCCCCGTCTCCCCGTCGCTCTGCACATGCTGTGCCCCCACCCTTCTTTCACATAATGGTATGATCCTAGTGTGTCCTCGCATATGATTGGCCGCATGGTGGCCCAGCTAAATAAAGACCCGCCCCTGCCTGCAAGGATTCTCAGCAAGAGTAGGAGCGGCTGAAGATTCTGCTTTCCCCGACGGGAGTCTGCTCTTCTAACGGCAGCTCGCGATCGGCGTGTTGGAGACCTCTGAATTAAAGTAGCAAGTCACCTCAAGTCAGAAGGCTCAAGTCCAAGTCAAGTCCCGAGTCATTGGTGTTCAAGTCCAAGTCGAGTCGCAAGTCTTTTGTGATGTTTTCAAGTCGAGTCTCAAGTCATAAAATGTGTGACTCGAGTCTGACTCGAGTCCAAGTCATGTGACTCGAGTCCACACCTCTGCGGATGAGCATACACAACTATTAAGATGATGACCTTACGTGTGTAAATATATTGTTTTCTTTGAGGGGGTCTGCCCCCAAAAAACTGTTTTAAGTCCTGAGAAAGTCAAATAAGACGGTGTTTAAAACTACACTGCCCAGCCAAAAAAAAAGTAACCACTTTGATTGAACTAGGCCAGTAGGTAAGGACTCTCCACTGGATAATAACTGCAGTATAAAAGAATGCATGACTGAAGTGATGGAGACCATGTTGAAGGCAAACAAAAAGAGGAAATAACAGGTAAAATCAAGCAAATCCCTCTCTCAGATTCCACAGCAACCAGAAGAACATAAATACTGGCTGGTGATTTGATTCATCAGCTTTGTGATGGAATACAAAATGCACAGTGCATTTCCTTAGCTGTGGGTGAGTCCACTGACACCACTGACAATGCTCAGTTGCTGGTGTTTGTGAGTTTTTATGATGAGGCAAAGGGGGAGTTTTTTGAAGATGTGTTGGGCCTGACGAACCTCAGTGGACACACAAGGGGGAATACATTTATAAAGCAATAATGGGAATGCTGAATGAAAGAGGGTGCAGCTGTCTTTATTCATAACTGTGCAGCTCTGACACTGCGACTCTGAGGGGTCAAGCACAGACACAATAACAATGAAAACTGCTGCATACAGATTATTTTTTTTTGCAACCTCGTGTTAAGAATCTTGTTGCAATTGTTTAAAAGTTTGAATGACCGTAATAAACGGACCTTTGTCTTATTGAAACATTTATTTTGGACCTTTAAGATTTGTATTTGAGTACCCCTGGCATAGACCATCTCCGCTGTAGAACACTGCAGATCTTCCTTTGGTGCGGTCCTCAGGCCCAGCATCACCCAGGGCAGCTTGTCGACCCAGTTACCGTCCGTAAGGCCGGCCTTGAGGGTACTTTAACATGTTACTGTGGGAGGTTGACCTGTGTGCTCCCTCCGGCCTCACAGCTCACTGCTCTGCCAGACGTAAGTGTTTGGGCTTTTCCTCACACCCAAATTCACGTAGTCTGTGGAGAGGAAACGCTTGTGGAGAAGCAACCGATTCTCACCAAACATCAGGAACACAATGTGGGGATCAACACTGCTCTCTGGTTATTATTCAATCTTGGATCCTGTAGTCGTGTTTAGATGCATATATAATTGATCAGAATCTGTGGAAGGAATCTGGAATCGGTGCTTCTCCATACTTTATCCTTCTCTTTATCGACCAGCCTCCTTCCATGCTGTAGTCTGTGTCGCTGGCAGGTTGTAGTGGCTTTGTTTCTCTCAGGAAGCTTCATGAATCTGTGGAAAATTCAATTCAAGTTCAATTCTCCCAAAGTGTCCTTGGGAAAGACACTAAACTGGAAATTGTGAATGAGATCAGATGAAGAGCAGCTTGGTATGTGTAAATGTAGGCATGTAGTGCAAACAGGCGCTATAGATGCAAGTCCATTTACCAAAATTAGGGCAATATATTGATATAATATCGATATCGTGATATTGTAATATCTTTACATCGCATTTAATTCCCTGGTTTTAAAAGCTGCATTAGATTAAAGTAGAATTACATTTTCTTTTTTAATGTTTTGTTATTATTATCTATCAACCATTTAATTGTGTACATATTTGTTTTTGAAAGAACCAAAAGTCAACCCTACTATATGGCGGAATATCAATATTGAGATATTTTGTCCAAAAATATGATTTTCTTCATATTTCCCAGCCCTAACCAAAAGCTGTCGCTGTTTGCTGTTGTTCATGTAACCATAGAAACATCACCTTGTTGCAATGGTTACTAACTGCTCTGTCTGTAGGTTTCTGGATGGACATCGGTCAGCCTAAAGACTTCCTCACAGGGATGTGTATGTACCTTCAGTCGCTACGGCAACAAGCTCCTGAGAGGCTACGCACGGGTCCCGGTTTCCTTGGCAATGTTCTTGTGGTGAGTTCTGCTGATGGCCGCCACATGATGTCAAATAAACACGGTTATAATTAGTGGTGCAGGAATGAGTCCTAGAGATCGGAAATAAGTTTTGCTAAAATGCATGAAATATGGTCTGTGGTTAACTCAAGCTGAAGAGATGACAACCCTTTGTTCTACAACATAGGTATGTTATAAGCATGTTGTATGTTTCACTGTTGGAGGAGTCTTGGTCTTCAGATGTACATTGCATCACTAGGCTGTAGCTGTTGTGCTCATGACTTTTAAGACAGTGAATCTTTGACTCCAGGACCCCACAGCGCAGATCGGGGAGAACTGCACCATCGGGCCGAACGTCACCATCGGTGCGGGGGTGGTGGTGGAGGACGGCGTGAGGATAAAGCGCTGCACGGTGATGAAGGGGGCGCGGGTCCGATCTCACTCCTGGCTGGAGAGCTGCATCGTTGGGTGGAGCTCCTCTGTGGGCCAGTGGGTGAGTACAGGACAGAGACCATAGGGAATTATATTATTACAAGTTATAGAAAGTTTAAAAAAAATGTTTAAGGTAATTTCATCTTTAACTGTGTTCATTGTGCAGACATTAAGAAATCATAAAGAACAACACTTCAGAATCAGACACAGGTTTATTACCAGGTGGGTTGACACGTACGAGGAATTTGACTAGGTGCATACATAAAAGTAAAACAACAATTAAAACATAGATAGAGAACTAGAAAAATAATAAAATATAAATATAACAGTATTTACATTGCAATGTAAAGGAATAAAATATGGAATAAAACAAAAAAGTAATAAGAAAAGAAAACAGATATTGTTGTACTCTTGTGTGCATTAATGTAATGCACACAAGAGTCTATGATGTGGCTGATGTTATGTGTCAGTGGGGGGGGGCGGGCGGGCCTTATTGATGAGTCCGGTAGCGGAGGGGAAGAAACCATCAGGAACCGATGAGTCAAAAAGTATTCTTAGAAAGTACAAAAAAATGGCAATACAAATGTAGCTGTTTTTGAAGTTTAGTTAACAGTAGATTTCAGAAGTCACATTTAAAGAGGCCCTATTTTTGCCTTTGGGGGTTTTCCCTTTCCTGTTTCCTTCACAGGAAAGGGAAAGGGCTTTCTGAACATTAAAGCATGGAGACATCAAACATGTTACAGTAGAAGCAAGAAATATGAACCTGAAAATGAGCAAAATATGTCCTCTTTAATCATTGTTTTCCATTTAGTAATGTAAAAGTCTATTGATTTCTTACTGCAGTCACTGAAGCATGACTTTTATTATATATCTCAAATTGCTTAAAATCAGTGTGTAGTATAAAATGAAGACATATGAACACATTTTTTCCCTAAAATGTAAAAAAGGCAATACATTTTATAGTTATTTTTATGGTTAATAATAAGATATATTTTTGACATGGCCTAGGTCAGGCATCCTCAAACTACGGACTCCGGTCCGGATCCGGACCGAACCACCACTGTCTCCGGACTCTGAGCAAATTATACTTTTCATATGTATGATCTCTCTGTATTATATGTGAGACATCGCCACAACGCATTCGCAACGAGTCAAAATTATCCGCTATGTCCACTGCAAACAGCGCTCTGCATGTCTGACTGTTCCACTGTGTTCCACCTGTGTGTGTCAACGCTTTGGTCCAATCACATTCAGCATCCAGTCAGCGTTTTTTCCCCCCAAACAATCTGCGAATCAGAGGCACAGTAGGGCGGGTCTTCGCGGAATGCGGGTGGGAAAAATGTGTGTGTCTCTTTCAACCTGTCTAAGTCAGAGCGAGAATTTAAAAAAAAAAAAAAAAATTCAGAGCGAGAGTTAACAGCTCATCTAGTTCCATCTGTACTGTAGCTAGTAGCCTAGTTTCACCTACCGGGGTGGCAACTGACACCCTAAAAATAGGCCTTGCCACCCCAGCTGCCAACCCAGTTGGCAGCTTTGTTTTGAAAGAAAAGTTGTGGCTCATCGGACATTTATGAGAGAAAGTCTCTAATGTCCGAGTGCAAGTGAATGCAGCACAAGATGCACGTCATGTAACCCCTCCCCCGGTCCTGGCGCGAGCGTGGACATACGATTTGGCGGCGATTTCATTTTTAACTGGACGGCGCAAAACGAGAAGCATTCGGACCCAAGCAGGGGCGGATCTACCGGGGTGGCAACTGCCACCCTAAACAATAGCCTCGCCACCCCAGCTGCCACCCCAGTTGGCATCTTTGTTTTGAAAGAAAAGTTGTGGCTCATCGGACATTTATGAGAGAAAGTCTCTAATGTCCGAGTGCAAGTGAATGCAGCACAAGATGCACGTCATGTAACCCCTCCCCCGGTCCTGGCGCGAGAGTGGAAATATGATTGGTGGCGAATTCACTTGAACGGGGGGACGGCGCAAAACGAGAAGCCTTTCGGACCCAAGCACTGAAGGAATGAGGTATTTGCGGTCTACAATGACAGAGAAGAGAATGTCAAGTTTGGCTGTACTCAGCATTGAATCAAAACGCACTAAAGCTGTTGATCTTAATAATTTTGTGAGGCGTTTTGCTGAACAAACTAGTAATCGCCGCATTCAGCTGTAATAGACATGCCAACTTGATGCTCTGCTCACGGATGACTCGATGAGAATAACAAACTGTTAAGATGATGACCTTGTATGCGTGTATATATATTTTTCTTTGAGGGGGTCTGCCCCCAAAAAATAGTTTTAAGTCCTGAGAAAGTAAAATAAGACGGTGTGTAAAACTGCCCAGCCAACAGAAAGTAACCACTTTGATTTAACTAGGCCAGTAGGTAAGGACCTTCCACTGGATAATAACTGCAGCGATGTTTTAGCTGAATACACGTTTTTTAACTCTAACTGATGCAGTTAGTCACTTCTTTAATGTTTGTTCTTTCTGATGTAAAGGCAAGGTTGTAACTGTATTTCAATAATGATATAATTACTTGTTTTTCAAATTTGAAGGAGGGTGAGCAAGCATCTTGATGAACATTCATCATTAACTCCTCCAAAAAATATAGTTTATTCAATAATAAATGAATATGTGAATCATAACAGTTCTTCACTATATCTGTAAAGCGTCTTTGAGCACCTGTAAAAACGCTAACAAATTAAATCTATTATTACTATTATTTATTAACAGTGATTGACAGCTGATAGGAATAATATGATTGTTAATAGTATCATATTCATACAGACAAACATCGATGAGACAGTTAATTAATGTACTTATTGCAGCAGTCTGCATAGATTTGGTACCCCTGCTGGTCTAAGAGTGAGACAAACTCATTCAGTTATTGTTCAGTCAAAAATTCATTAAATTACGTCTGCCACCTTATATGTAAGGCTTTACTGATGTGCCACAATAATATCACCTATGTGATTGAGTTAAAATATTAATATTGTGGCTTTCCAAGTAAACATTGATTGTAGGGGTGTAACGGTTCACAAGCATTTCGGTTCGGTACGTACCTCGTTTTTAGGTCACGGTTCGGTTCGGTACGTTTTCGGTACAGCAGAAAAAATTATCACAAAACATTAAAAAAAATTTTTAAATTATTATTAAACTGACTAATGTATTCAAATAAATACAAAATATAGTAAAATAAACATTAAGGTGCAGCATTTCGATGAACTGAAATAATCTGTATTTGAACTGTACTAGTACAGCAAGCTTGACATTAGGACTTGCTTGTCATTGTATGTTCATTGTCACGATCTGTCTGTGTTGTTGTTTTGTCTTGTCTTTTTCTATCTTTGGGTTTCCTGTTTTATTTTGTAAATTGTTCACCCCCGTTTCCTGCCTGTTGCTTTCTGTCTGTTTTCCCTCCCTGATTACCCGATTGTGTTCACCTGGTGCCTCTGTGTTTTCTCCTCCCTCCTCACCTGTGTCTTGTTTGTGTGATTAGTCTTGTGTGTATTTAAGTTCTGGTTTTTCTGTCTGTCTTTGTCGGTTCGTCTTTCGTTGTTGACTGTGTTCACCGGTGAGTGTTCTGTCTGTCCTAGTTCTATATTTCACTATCCTTGAAATAAAGGTATTATCAGTTTATCTGCATTTGGGTCCTGCTTCCTTCGCTCTACCGTGACAGAACGAACCGACCAAGAAATGGACCCAGCAGATGATCCATTTGAGGTGGAACTACAACATTTTTCCTTTTATTTGGCTTGCTGCCATGATTGGTGGAAGGGAGCGTCCAGTGTTCGGCAGAGGGAGGCCGCTCTGGTAGAGGCGCACCGGTTGGCTATGGAGAAACTAGACTTGGTGAAGTTCTTACCTGGCTGGATTTTGGACTTCCTCTGGGTGTGTGATTTCCAGCCTGCTGAATACAACCGTCTCTGTGTGTTCCGTCTGGAGTCAACCAGTGCTTCTGCCCCAGTTCCTGCTCTTGTCCAGGAGTCGTTTTCTGGAACTCGTCTGGCTTTTGGAGGTCCACGGAGCCTTAAGGCGGCTTCTAGGAGAAGGAGTCGCAAGTCCAGGCTAGCAGCCCGAGCCCCAAGAGCCATGATTCCGGTCCCAGTTCTGGCCCCAGCGGCCATGGTTCTGGCCCCAGCGGCCATGGTTCCAGACCCAGCTCTTGCCCCAGCTGCCATAGTCCCATCTCAAGTCCCTTCTCTAGTCCCTTCTCTGGTCCACTCTCTAGTCCCTTCCCAAGTCCCTCCTCAGGTCACTTCTCTAGTCCCTTCTCTAGTCCTTTCTCAAGTCCTTTCTCAAGTCTCTCCTCTAGTCCCATCTCTAGTCCCATCTCCAGTCTCTCCTTTAGTCCCTTCCCTAGTCCCTTCTCAAATCCCAACTCTAGTCCCATCTCAAGTTCCCTCTCGAGTCCCCTCTCGAGTTCCCTCTCCAGTCCCTACTGAAGTGCTGTTGGAGGTTCCGGCTTCAGTACCGGCCCACACAGCAATGATCCAGGCTTCAGAACCGGACCTTACAGCCATGATTCCGGCTCCAGAGCAGGCCCATTCAGCCATATTTCCGGCTCCAGAACCGGACCTTACAGCCATGATTCTGGCTTCAATTCCGACCCCCGCAGCCATGGTTCCAGCCCCAGCAGCCATGGTTCCGGCTTCAGTACCGTCCCCGGAAGCCATGGGCTCGACTCCAGTTTCGGCTACAGGGCTGGCTCCTCAGCCGACGCCATTTCCCCGAGTCTTGTCGGCGTACCGGCCGACTCCAGCACCTCGTCTTCTGCTGGCTCCCCAGCCGACGCCAGCTCCCCGAGTCTTGTCGGCGTACCGGCCGACTCCAGCACCTCGTCTTCTGCTGGCTCCCCAGCCGACGCCAGCTCCCCGAGTCTTGTCGGCGTACTGGCCGACTCCAGCACCTCGTCTCCGGCTGGCTCCCCAGACGACGCCAGCTCCTTGTCCTGTCCCGTTGGAGGTCCCGCCGTCTACTCTCCTGCCGGGGGTCCTGCCAATCCTTTGTCCTGTGCCGTTGGAGGCCCCGCCGACTACTCTCCTGCCGGGGGTCCTGCCAATCCTTT